CAAATCATAATTTCTTATCGTAAGAATTATCATACTCCCACCTTAAAAGAGTATGCCACTAAAAGAGTATTGCCACTTGGAACCACTTTACCGACTCTAAGAATTTTCCATCGGCCATGTCGGATCCCGCTAATAGTTTATGGTGCAACCCTCCTGTTGCCTTTTCCGAGAATTCATTAGCCATCAACATATTTTTTTTTCACCACACACTTTGCATCAACTGTCAACCAATGCCGTACGCATTTCCGTGGACCAGCTACCAATAATCCTTCCTCTTCCATGGCATCTCAACGGGTAGCAATCATGCCATGAGGACACACATCTCTCAATTACAGAGAGATCACATCATCTCCTTCGCCACAGGAGATCACATTGGCAGCAACAACATTAGAGCTTCTAGCCGAATTCAGCTTCCACCGTTCTGGCAATCCTTCTTCACGTGTCCAGTTTGACCACAACCCCCAGCAGACAAAACCTTTCCTCTTTTCCGGGAGCTTTTCTTTTCTTTTCCTGGTACGACAATAAAAAGGCTTGAATTCCGATAAAGCTGAATCCTCATATGATTTATTTTCCATTTCATTCAGTCTTCTCTCCTCAGTAATGAGTTTACTAACCACATCCGCATACACCACTTCCTTACTACCATATTTCAGAACAAGTTTTATGTGCTCATATGTCGAAGGAAGTAACAGGATGAGTCGGAGAGCTTTATCTTCATCTTCGGTTTGCACTCCAAGAGTTTCCAATTCAGAGACGATGTCGTTAAGAACACTTAGGTGATCTGACAACTTTTTACCTTCCACCATTTTCAACGTATGAAATTGCTCCTTCAAATATAACCTGTTGGATTTTTTTTTCTGGTACAATTCTTCCAGTTTCTCCCACAACAACTCCTTTGTCGTGGACAATCCAAGCACATTACGCAAAGAACATTTTTGTCTAGACACATGGAATTTGATCTTGCCGCTTTTCGGATATCCTAAGCTCCTTTCTCATTTTTCATCAGCTAAATCTTGGATTTTTCTGAGTCTCTTACTGCTAACTGTCTTTTTCCTGAATTCTTTCCGCTGACTGGTTACCCTTCCAAAAAACCTTATGACCAGTTCAGGACTTGACATTCAACACGGTCTTTGACTTGCACTTGGACACAGTTGCAAAAATTCATTCTCCCGTTACAAATTCATTCTCCCGTCAAATTTCTCAATCTCACATCTCATAGCCAACATGCTTACTTATGCTTATAACAGTGAACCCAATAATTAATGAAGTAAACCGATTTGGTAATACACAAAAAAGACCACAATGATTTTCTAGACAGTATTACCATTCCACGTAAAATCCCAGTTGGGCGGAGGGGTCACAAGTAGTCCCACTTAAAATCCGGCCTTCTAGACAGAAGTTACGTGCACGGTATATTATCAGAACTTCGGTACCAGAATAACTTCAATAATTATCGTCAGGGCCTTCACCACCGGTACTCAAGCACACCAAAGCAAAGCTCCACCCGCTTCAAGACTTCCAAAACTCCACCTGCTTTTAAAATAAAATAATTTCTAACAACTTCTAACAACAGTATTTCTTGATGTGGAAGATCAGACTAAGCCGGCAAACCACAATGCATAATTATAATTTAATTACAAGAAATTATTTTAACACTAAGAAGCTTCCCCTAACAAACTTAGGCTTGATACCACTTGTTTGGGAAATCGCTATTTATCCCGCCCTTCGGATCGGCTTTCAAAAGCAGGGAACAAATGAGAAAATAAAATAATGACTAAGAAATTAAAGAGAACACGATAGTTAACGTGGAAAAACTCCCAAGTTAGTGAGAAAACCACGGCCGTTGACCAAACTACCGTTGCCAAACGACAACCAAGAAAAATATTCACTATGCGGCAAATTGTTATAACCACAATTACAAAATATTTTTCTACCCGACATCCTCAAAACACCCCAAATAATTTATACTCCAAGAGACTCCAAGAGATTTGCTCTAAATCCTTAATATAAAACACATTTAAGTGTTTTGGTGTGTTTAGAAAGCTAAACATTAGCTTTTTTTTTATAGACAATTCACCACCCTCCATTAGCTCATCTCCACGATGTGAGATTGAGCTAAACTATTTCTTTTATTTATTTATTTGTTTTCAACAAAGGCGGCTAACATATATTACACACAATTTTCCTATCAACTTTTTCTTTCCCGGAAAATTTTCTGGATAGGATTCATGCCAAACAAAAGAAAATTTTCTGGATAGGATTCATGCCAAACAAAAAGATAAGAAATTGATTTCCCTCTTTTCAAAATTCATTGCGAAAATAAGAAGAGGCCGACATTATGTAACCTGAATGAGTATTTTTAAGTATCTAATAGAAGAAACAACAAAATAATAGAAATTAAGAAGAAAATAAAGGCAAATAAAAAGGAAAATTACATTGAAGTATCATCTGGAGAGGTACATGAAGAAGATGAGAGTGAAGTCAGTCGGTAGGAAAAAAAATCTGACGCGGAAGGGGAAGAAGTTTCAAGAGAAAATAAGGGCATATTAGGAATAACATTAAAATGAAATTGTTAAAGGGGCATAACCCTGTTCTATGAACAGTGAAATTGGGTTTCATTTTACCATATATATAATTTTACTTGGCTAAATGACAGAAAATGAAAATCGTCAACTTTTAATAAATGTATAGGCTAAACCATTTATGATGCCCAAACTTTATAACTTGTAACAATTACATCCTAAAAAGAATTTAATTCCACATGCACCCCTGTAAGGATCATATATAAGTGACTCTCCCACCATAACACCAAAACATGAATACGAGACTTTTAATTAAAATAGAACAAATTATAACCATTTTATTTCAATCAACGTTGGTTGTAATAAAATTTTCTCACTGTATTAGCGAATAATTCAAATCAATAAAGAATCTTTAAATTCAATACGACAATAAACACCTAAATAGATATTTATACACACTTTTAGCAAACTTAAAAAAGAAATAATTAGGTAGGGACGCACGAAAATACACACAATAATTCAATCTTATAATAACCCAATAATGTAATGCTTTAAAGACATCAAATAATTTTAAAGGACATAATTGAAAAAATAAAAGGAAAATAATACATTAAAAAATGATTGAAACTTTTTCATACATTTGTGATTTTATATCATCTCGAGTAAAGTGATTCAGACCATTTCAATTTATTCAAAAACACTTATATTTAAAATTTTATATAAAAACAGCAAATTAATTAATTTGATATCTACTCCAGGCATGGAGTTTTTAAACAAATCTATTAGTAATTAGTAGACGATTAAGCAACATTCATAAATACGTAATGACTTGTTCAGCCTTTGACTTAAACTAGATTTAATTGCTCAATCAAGCAACTATACTTTGTTAGGGATATTTGACTCAGTGACACACAAACTTCTAACTACTTTCTTAATTTTGCCTGCCAATTCTGAACTATGATCTTCCTTTCTATTTTCTAGTGTTCCGATTGATCATGTATATCAAGTCCTTGGACTTCATTCTCCTATCCATTATTTATTTATTTTTAATTTATCAAATTCTCATTTTTTGTGCATTACAAAGATCCCTTTCAAGCGATTATGCGGTAGGTATACATTTTGTTAAATCCTACCATTTTTTGTGCATTACAGAAGATCCCTTTCAAGCGATTAAATGCGGTCGTGAATACATTTTGTTAAAACATTCCCTTGCTTTTCATATGTTTTTAAAAAATATATTATCATTAAAGTGAGTACGATGATTTATTCTGCATTTTTCCCCGTTCTTTGAATCCCAAAAACATTCGAAATATCATGTTTAAGGCGATCAAATTCCTTTCCGTATTCCCTATAACCAAAGTTGTTTTTAATGTTCGAATGTGTTTTGGATGAAAATTTCCTTTCGGTATGATTCTGGTCATGCATCTCAGTAACAGCTTTGTATGATGCCGGCTGTTTTACATAGTAGTGGTCTGGTGTATATAATTTGTTCCTTATATTATAATTAGGAGTATTTGTGTTATAAAGGAGGTTTTTAAGGGAAGCCAGGAGGTTCAGTCAAAGCGTTGCTTCTTTAATGAACATTTGATACGTAAAAATCCCGAGTGGTATAGATAGAGCTTGGACAAGTTATACCAAGATATATAAAAACAGCTACTGAAATTAATTAATTTTTGCCGAACATAACAATATATAATAATAGAGGCATATAAACGATGGAGGGCCACACCATCCACTTGGCTAAGCAATGGGTTTGGATTACTTATCAAATTTTTGATTTTGTATGAATACTTATTTTTAATATTGTGTGATTAAAATAGTGACAGATCTTTTGCATAAATATATAAGGCTAAGCTGGACCGTTCGTTAATATGCTAAGGTTCCCCTTACTGGAAGTTTACGTTTTATAGAACGGCGCGCGGTTAGCGACAGAATACGGTTGTGAAGTGATTAAGAGATTACCACCACTGTATTCCCGAATTCCCATATCATGTCTTATTTATTCATTTGCTTTTTTTTTTTTATTTTGCTCTCCCCCTGCTTAGGAAAATTCAGCAAATAATTAGTAAGCTTAATTGGATTGAAGTGTCAATCCCGTATGCTTTTGTGTTTTTAACCAAAAAATCCTTATTGCACCCTTACAACTTTTCAATTTTTGGAACCTATAGAACATTTCAATATTATAAAATTGTACCTATTAAATAACTGTCAATGTAACCCGTATTGACAGCTTCAAAATAAAAATTAAAATCGCATTTTTAACAGCTGGTACTAGATTTAGTTGGCAAAATATAAAAAGTATTTAGTGTCAAAAGTCTTTTGTAATTAACCAAACATATCAAATTAAAATATTTTACATATAAAAGGCCCCAAAAACTAATAGAAATCTTCATTATTGATATAGGCGGTGAGCTAAGGTATGGACAGGAGTTATTAAGAAAAAGGAAAAAGACCCGAGGGGTGCCACAGCAAGTCGATTTTAAAAGCTCAGGATTGCCCAACAAAATTTTTTTTTTGTTAATTAAATTTCAAGGACAAAAAAGTTGTGTATTTGGTAGATTCATAAGCAAATGAATAACTACCAGTGGTGCTTGGTGCTTTTTCGCTTCCCCCACAATTTTGTTTTAAATTATGCTTACTACCGTAATATTTTTTAAGTAATATCTGACCTTTTTCAATCCACCCCATTTTATTTATATGATATCCGGACAAACAGCGCCATTATTTTTAAAAATTGTAATCATAAAGAAATTTTTTTTTTCTTTTTTATGAGTTGTAAAGCATATTAATTTTAAAAATCATTCCATGTTAATCAATAATTAATAAAAAAGTTATTAATGGAAGTATATATAGTAGTAATACTATATATATATACTATATACTATTATAATATTATATATTTAAAAAAACCTTTCTTAAAATATTTTGAAAATATTAAAAAAAGGGTAATATCAGGATGATAAACGGGAGAAGGATTATTAATTTTTTATAAATCATTTACTAATGTCTTTCTCCTGATCTCAAGCAGCCCAATGGAAAGCGCAGGAGGCTACAAAATCAAAACATTCCAATTAAAACAATTTATACGATTGCTTTAATGACATTTAAAAAAATTACAAAAGGAATTTGCTTTTAGCTTTATTATTTTGGTTAATTTCCTTTAACAGATAATAGCGTCTTTTCAAACGGAATTCATTTGTCTTTTCGCGTAAAGCGGATGCACCTGTCAGAAAGATGTTAGCAACGTCCCTACCTTGTTGTATTATTTCGTGATACAATATTTCCCATCTTTTTGTAAAATGCACACTGAAAAAAGACCACGCGCTTAAAAAATGTTCCCGTTTCCGACCTTCATGGACTCTTCTCTTCGACCTAGAGACGCAAGAAAGAGCTGACGATCGATTGGAGAACACCGGAAGAAAACGCCCCTTCCTGGAACCTCCGGTAGTTCCAAAGAACAAATCGGGATAAAGGATAGATTTCCCAATCATCGGGGGCCAAATCTGGACAATTCCTGAAATTACTCTTCCAAAACTCCTATTAACTGCCGCTCGTAATAACGTTCTGGTAAAAATCCCCGGGATAGCGCCCCCGGCAAACCTAGTTAACTCGCGCAACGAAACTTTAAATTGTCCGTCGTCTCAATTGTTCGAAGTCCGGGGCACCAACCCCATCCGAAAAAATCTGCTTCTCTTGTTTAGCAACTCTCGAACAGCGAAAAATTAAATCTCTTAAGAATGCTCTGCCTATTTGGTGAAGTAGCCGGTGCATCGGACTGCACCAGTTCCCAAATTCTCCGTGGGCAAGGGAGAGGCGGAAAAACTTTTCCGGTCCCATGTCCGAATCACGCCCTCGTAATTTGAAGGGCCCGGTACTGGGGTTTCCACTTTAGGCTGTCGGTCAGCTTCATCATCCAATCATCCGCCGGATGAGGAATTTTCCAAAGCTACGATGTACGGCGGACTTCTTTCAACCCTACGGTATTGGGAAAGGATTGTTTGTAGCTAAAGATAACGAAGTATAGAGAAATGGAGCCACGTCTTTGTAAAGCCTGCAGTCTTGCCGTCGAAGGTTGTCCGGATGTGCACAGGCAACGAGGAATCAGAAGACCATAGCTAAACCGTCTAGGGAAAAATTCAGCAGGAGGAATTGGCCGATCCAGTTGTAGCTGAATCAGGCCTCGGGGACTGGACCCCTGAAATGAAAATTCCTTTGCGCATGGGTGACTGGTTTCGTTTCGGGTTAAAAGGCCAAATCGGCGATCTCATATCAGATAATATGCCGCTGTAGGTCCGGATGAAAGAAAGAATATAGTTTTCATCAGTATACAGCAAAACGAGGATAAGCCAAGCTAACCGTAGGGAAATCGCCGAGGAATTGCCATCCTGATCAGGCTCAGGACTGCCGAAGTAAAACTCTGGCAATGGTGACTGGTTCGTTAAAGGCCAATCGGCGACTATATCAGATAATATGCCGCTGTAGTCGGATAAGAAAGAAATATAGTTCATCACGTATCTTGTTAAAGGATGGACCCCACCTCCAGGTGGCGTTTTCGAATTGTCTTTCGAAATTGCCGATTCGAAATCGGTTAGCATTGTGCGGACAGCTTCGCCGAGCTTGATTAAAGAGTTAACTGCTTGTGATCGGACGGTGGACGTTGATTCATCGTTGAAAATGGATTCAATCTCAGGCCAGAGATCGGCTATTGCTTCGTAGAGGTCAAGAATACGGAACATTTTCTCAGGAGATTTCTTGCATTTTGCTATATTTTCCGGGAATCCAAACAAGCCCAGAGCACCTTCTTTCGTAATTTCTGCAAAGCAAGATTCTCTCATCGAACCAGAAGCAGAGAAGACATGATCGCAGAGAATTCTCTCTCCATTGAACAATGTCTTAACCGCCACCTTTACTGCATATAACCAGCTTTTGATTTTAATTTCCAGTACTTCCCAATCCATCTTCTGAATCTGCGAGAAGTTCAATCCCTCAACACCGAGATGATACAAAGTCTCATCAACAATCGATTTTCGAACAATTTTATAAATCTTAACACACTCTCTTCCATAACCAGAAGAAATCATACAATCTGCAATAGCTTTCAAATCTGCCATAGCCATCATAGAAACTCGCTCAACTTCCGATACCGAATCACCAAATCTCGACGATTCGTCCTCCGATTCATCTTCAAAATCGGAAACACTCGACCTTGACGCTCTAGAAGAGTGACTCGAAACTGATTCTGGATCAAGATAATCCCGATTAAACTTTAAGATCTGGTAAAACTCTCTTTCGAGTCTTTTCATGGCGACTTGCATGAGATTTTGAGCTGTAATGAGTTTTTCAGAAGCGGGGTTTTCTGTTATGTAGTACTGCATAGCAGACTGTAGTTCTCTGATAGAGTTGAGGTATTGTTTGGCTTCGAGGCGGTCCTCAGTAAAAAGAGAAGTGATGTTGCAGTAATTGGAAGAAGAAGAGGAATCAGGGTCCCATTTAGAAATGAGTATCTGGGCATTGTCTATTTTTTCATCCATGAATGTATCAGACAAAGTAAGGCGATGGGGTGGTGATCGCATTGGAGAACTTGAAGGTGAAGGCTTGAAGAAGATAGTCCTCATTCCTGAAATGAGTATCTGGGCATTGTCTATTTTTTCATCCATGAATGTATCAGACAAAGTAAGGCGATGGGGTGGTGATCGCATTGGAGAACTTGAAGGTGAAGGCTTGAAGAAGATAGTCCTCATTCCTTTTCTCGGCATGTACCGATTATAAAGTAGGGTTCAAGATTTTCTTGTTCAAGGTTTCACGCAATTCAGTTAACTTCAAGATTTGAGAGAGAGAAAGAGAAATGAGTGAGAAAGAAGAGTTGTTAGTTATGCCTAGGAAGTTAGGAGTTTGGGGGGTATTTATAGAGAAAGCAGAAAGAAAGTGAGAAGGGTAGTTTCGTTCGTTGACTATGTCTCATAATTCACGCGGTTATAAATGATCGTTTATGGATGGCTTCTTTTATTTTTTTAATCTAAATAAAGTAAAAGCAGGAGAAAGTGTTAAAACAATGAATTTGCCGCCCAAAGAAACAAGCAAGAAAATGCTTAATGGTTAATAGTCCCTTTTTTTTTATTCTTTTTTAAGAAAACTTCTGAGAATATTTTGCAGTTAGATGATTTTTTATTTTATTTACTTTTGGAAGTTATTTATTTGGTGCTGTTGAGTATAATAATAGTTCAAATGGAAAATACATTTGATTTTGTGATAAGATTGTTTTTAATTTTTTAAGCTACCCCGAAGAAAAAAAAATTCTAATGTATTAAAATATTTCAAATTTTATCGGTTTTAATTTCACTCTATTTTGAATTTAAAACATGCTTGAGATATTTATTATTAAATAAAAATGCTTCCCGTTCGGTTAAATTTAATGATTTTTTATTTTTATAAGAATTAAAAAAATATTGAATAATCTCAATTAAAGAAAAAAAGAATAATTGCTTAAGCTACCTTTTAATTAACGCTCATTTAATTGAGACAAAATCTAGTGTAAATATCTAAATAAGACTAAATCGAAATAAAAAATAATTAATGGGGCTTTAATTTTCTAAAAGTATCATATAAATAGAATAGAAAAAATCAAAAATTTTCAAATTTAAGAAATTTCTCATTTAGCTGTGATTTACCCATCTTAGCTGTTACCAGTCCTGCCATGTGTACATCGCCAGATTTTCTAAAATTAGTCCAATTTTGATGTTAAAAATTTTAAAACTTTGTGCTGTGTACAGATATCAATGCCATATTAGAATTTGTTCTTATGCATCAAATATCAAATTTCTATATCAATGTGTGAACATAATTTTGACCCATTCAATTTATTATCAGAATAGCGTGTTTTTGCTACAACTTAAAAAATTGGAGAGAAACTACACGTGCACCAGGTCGCATATAGATATAAGAGTTCATTGTCTCATTTGATCTGTTAAAAGCAGGAGAAAGTAAATTGGAAAGAAAAAGTCCTTTCTTTTTTTTTTTTGGAAGAACCGGTCTCCCGCTCTCACATATATATTTACGCTGTGAATTTAGCCGCATCCTTAGCTGTTACCAGTCCTGGACCAATGTGTAGCAATCGGGTCCAGATTTATCTGAAATTAGTTTCGCAATTTTGAATGTTAGAAAAGTTGTTAAAACTTTGTGCTGTGTACAGATATCAATGCATAATCGTAGAATTTTGGCTTACTTCAATGCCCGTCAATATCACAATATTTTCTTATACGATGCAAAGTGTGTGAACATTCGTAAATTTTGACCATTCAATTTATGATCTGGAGAGCTAGAGAATTAGCGGTGTTTGTATGGCTGCTACGATGAGTGACTTAAAAATATTGGAGAGAAACTACACGGTGCACCAGGTCGCATTAATAGATTATATGAAGAGGTTCATTGGTCTCATTTGATGGGCTGTTAAAAGCAGAGGAAAGTAGATTTGGAAGAATAAAGTCCTTTCTTTGTTTTTTTTTTGGAAGAACGGCGGGGTCTCCCGCTCTCGACGGGACATATGATTAATATATATCTATATATATATATTATTATAGTTTTTCATTTTTTTTCTCTTAATGAATGATGGGAAACACCTTTATTTATATGATAAATTTTATATTTGTTATCCATTTGATAAATGAGTGAACGTCATTACCGAATATATGTAAGTATTGTATTTCTGGTTTAATATCCTATATATTATGTATTTATTGAATAAGACTATTGAACTGTAACGAAATTATTATAGTTTCATTTTTTTTTTCTTAATGAATGATGGGAAACACTTTTATTATAATAAAATTTTATATTTTAATTCATTTAATAAATGAGTGAACTCATATACCGAATATATGTAAGTATTTTTCTGTAATATCTATATATATATAATAACTATTAACTGTAACGATTGCAATAAAATCTTAACATATTACGTGTCAAATATAAATTATATATTACTTTAAATATATTTGTTTAGACACAATTTGAGTAGCTTGAACTCCTTTATAACATTTTGGTTTGAAGCATACTTCAAATTATCGATAAACTGTGGTTTGAAAGTTTTTGTATCCTTGTTGTGTTTGTAATTAACTACTAGCAGTAATTATTAATTATTCTGAATAATTTAGTCAAATTAATGATGTGAGATAAATGATAATTTAGTCAATTTAATAAATATTTTTAGACGGAGAAGTAATAATTTGCTAAATGTGACCAGTAACTAATCAAATATTATGTTACCGTGTTCGAATTACTTTGTTTAATGTTTAATGAAGGATTCAAAATAACAGAAAAATAGGTTATGATTAACCATTCTAGCTATCAATTAATTGGACATTTGTGCCTGTTGTTTTGTGATTGTATCTATTTGAATAACCTAGTCAAATATGCAACTACATGTCGTATTAGATGAAGAAATAGCACACTTTCTCATATAAATTAAGGCACTCTTACAATTTGCACACCTACTAATTTGTTTGAGCTGATCCCAGCTACATATTTCTCAAGGTTTCCCTTTTTAACCACAGTTTTACACGTACAATGCAAGTCTGGATGCCAAAAACTAAATAATAATAAATTAAATTAAAATATAAATTAAGCCACTATTACAATTTTGATTCAATAATGAGACAATTGAATTTGATTAATTAACGGTATTACCTGTCACTAGATTTCAAGGTGATAACTTGGGGAATGAGTGTTAGGAAAATAAATAAATAAATAAGTGCTTTGTCAGCAATGATGTCACTATTGTAATAACTACATAGTTAAGTCATTGCTTAGGAAAGAAGGTTCTTCATTTTGATTTTGATTTTGATTTTGGCACTCCAAAACAATTATGCCCAAAGAATAATAATTAGATGTTGGACCCTTTCGAGACTAATTCCTTTGAAGGTTGATAGAGAAATCATAATCATCAGCTTAATGATATAAGAGAACATGTCATTATCCGGTGAACTTTTCTGTAGGGAGACTCGTGACATAAGAAGGCATGTCACTTTTTAATTTACTTTTTATTTTGATAAATCAACTCTGAAATATTATTAGATAAAAAAACATAATAAAACTAGAGTTTATTATGACTTACAGCTTACTAAACATAATCATTATTACGTTACAAATTACTAAACATAGTATTAATATAAATTAAAGACTTTAAAATTGTGAAAATTGAAGTTATTGAATGCTATCGGATAATTAAAAATATTAAAATTATTATTAAATAGTTTGTTTTAAAAAATATAAAAAGTATCACATTTTTTAAATATTATTCAGTAACTGAAAATTGTATAAAATTATTCAATAGGTGCGATTTTATTAATCAAAATCTGAAATATATGTAGTTTTAATAATTAACCTAAAATTTTTTCTTGTAAAGTTAAAGTATCAGTTTATGCATTAAGCCACTTGCGACTTGCCAATATTTAACTTACCCATGGTAAATATAATTCATTTAATCAATTTTTAACCGCAACTCAATCAAATAAAATAAAATAAATTTTAGAGAGTTGTATATTAGTGGATGGCACGATTTCAAAATGAGACAAAAGACTGCATATCAAGCCATGAAAAATTTAAATATAGCTTATGCAAATTTATGCTATAAAAACAGCATCCAGCACAGCTGTCAGTCTTTCTTAGCCATCATTTGTGAACAAAAATTGAATTTGTTTAAAAATTGAATTTTATTTTAATATATCAACGTAGAGAATGACATAAGTGCAACCCTCTGATCTCGTAGCTTGGGATAACCAACTTTGAAATTTTGAAAAGTCGCAGTCTCACTTTTTTTTGCTTTGAAAGAACTTTTTCAGTTTTAAATACAAAGAAAAGAGAAACTAAGTATGAGTACTTATTTTTTCTAATTATATTTATAATGTTAATTATTTATCTTAAATAACTTGAGTTGATTACTAATAAACAATTGGATTTGGAGTTTGACTGATTTCATGATTGGCGTGCTTATCAATTATATGACTAATCTTATAAGTAACAAGAAGAATAGTATGAGATACGTATATATATAGTATACTTTCTTTTATTTTTTATTTTAAAATACATTTAAATAATATACTCATAAAAAAAAAAAAAAAAAATCTTTTATTTTTTGATTTAAAATTACATTAGAATAATATACTCATGAAAAAAAAAAAAAAAAACAGTTTACACATTGTGGAAGAAGGAGTCGGGAGAAGAAGTGTCTCAAGTAGTCCACTTCTTAATCTTGACTGTAGATTATTAAAAAAAAAAAAAAGAATTATCTAACATTATTAAAAGGGTTACAATTAAATATTATTGGGAAGGATATTTTCCTTGCTAAAAAAAATAAAATGCAATCATTTTTACTTAATAAATAATATAAAACATAAATCATAAAAAAAAAAAAAAAAAACAGTTTACACATTAGTTAAGAGGAGTCGTGGAGAAGAAGTGGTCTCAAGTAGTCCACTTCTTATCTGAATTATTAAAAAAAAAAAAAGAATTATCTGAATTATTAAAAAGGTTACAATTAAATATATTGGGAAGGATTTCCTTGCTAAAAAAAATAAAATCAATCATTTTACTTAATAAATAATATAAAACATAAACATCATTTCTCTTTTTTTTTTTTTTGAACTTTTTGTTGTCTTATAACCCTTCAATAAAAAGTGTCAAATTTCATTTTTAATTTTCTTTTCACTCCAAAAGAATTAAAAAGAGAGAGAGAGAGAGAGAGAAAAAAAAAAGAAATAAAGGTAATAATCTAGAGAAATAAATAAAGTAAAACAACTATAGAATAAAAATCTTGATCTTTCAATAAGAAATTCCGGTTAAATTTATTTAATTATATAAAAACTCTTGGAAAGTAAAAATGAAGAAAATTTTCAAAGAAGCTAAGAAGTATTGAAGTGTTGGAAGAGCAACCTCAATTAGTTAGAAGACTTATGAATGTTGATTCGGTCGGGTTATTGATTTGTTGATTTTTTAAGGTTAAATTCCTACTTTCTATTTAAAAAAATTGAAAAAAAAAATATTAGAGATTTAAATTAGAAAAATTAAAAAATTTAAAGACTAAAAATTATAATTAAGCGTATCCAAGTGAGAGATGCAGTATCCGTCCAATGATTTTTTTTTGAGCAAATATGATCTCATCTGACCGTAGAATACGACGTTCTCTTCTGACCAATCCAAAGTTTCTCCTAAACCTAAACTATTAGAATGTATTGTAACCTAGAACTATTCAAACGGAATATATTAGATTTTTAAATATTCCAAAAGTAATATATTTATTCATCTCCATTTATTAATTAGGGCTTTGATTCCTTCCAAACTATGTATGGAATATTTTTGTTCGTCAACTTTCTAGTTTGCGAGTCCTATCCGGATGTTCTATCGCTATACAAACTAGACTCGGTGTTTGAATTTTTTGTTTACTTTTTATAAACCTAGGAAGTGTAATCCTGTTTCGGCGTGTAAGCGCAAAGATTTTTAGCATTCTCATTAACAATATCTCGAGTGCTAATATTAATTACTCTTATTTAATTGTCACATTAGGAAAAATATAAAGATGTTTTTAAGAAAATACTTTCCAATACTAATGTCTATTTGATATGTCAAACTTTGTCAAAAAAAAAGAAAAAATTAAATAGACTTTATCCATCACACATATTTTTAGAGGTCTCTTAGACAATGTCGACATTTATTGCATAGTGATTGACTGTATTTTAAATTGTGGACGAAAAGAAAAAAGAGGATATAAAAAAAAATATGAAAATAGCATATTTGAGAAAGATTTTTAAAATTCAACGTCTATAAATAGACATTCGGTTACATCATCATTTACACCTTCTATTTCATATGACACTTCAATCATAATCCATATAAGTATTAGAGATGCTTTAAGTGTACTTTCTAATCAAACTTGTGTTCTCATCGTTACGAAAATTGAAATCGCTTACCAACCTAACCAACATGGGTTATCTATTTATTTATTTATTTCTTTAATAGGCAAATTTTACAAATTAATTTCTACACACTATATTAAGTTCAATCTTTCAATCCAATTAAAGAAGCTCGAATATTTTTCTAAAAAAAAAAAAAATCTTCTTTTATTATTTGGGTTCAAGAATCGAATTTTAATCAATAACATAAAATTGAACTCATTTTCATCTAAATTTAATTTGATATATGTATAAGTTACAATATTTTATTCCTTTTCTTCTGAAAATAACTATTCAATAGATAGATTCAGTCCGAATTGAAAAAAAGTTAATCAGGAAAATTTCGATTGCTGTCTCACAAATTTGAACCATTGGCAATCAAATCAGGTGCAAAAAAAGTCAATCGATAGTATATGAAGTTAGTTCCAGAAAGTTCCAGTACAGTGGGTAAGTTTGTAAGTTTGAAAAAAAAAAAAAAAGGAAGAAAATTGCAAAAGAGAAAAGAAGTATGTCTCAAAAATAGAAACACATTCAATAAATCTTGCCTTAACTTTATCTAGGAGATTCAACGCATTCAGATAATTATCTCTATGTGCCAAAGCAACAAAACTACTTACTACTACCGCGTAAGCCAACCCACTTTTGCCTCCTATAGATATACTTCACTTGCCCTAACACTTACATATGGAAATTCTTACATTCTAATCCACAGATTCAAACAAAAATAGCATTTTAGTTTACATTTATTTTTAATTTATGACCACAGGTAACATGGAATTCACAGAAAGTTCTTTCAGTAGTCAAAGCCACCAAGGTTTGAATCCTTGGCTTTTCAGATAAAATTTACTTTTAAGGTGCTGAGATTGTGTTCGGAAACAGCCTTTTAAATAATTTTTAATATTTTGACTAGTGTTACTTTTTATAATGTTCAGTTACGTAGCATTGGAACTAACTTTTAGAGGTTAAGATCGCATTTTGCGAAAAATTAAAACATGTAGCGTTTAATTTTAATGGTTCATGAAAAGCTACTTAAATAACTAACCGCTACACGCTACTACAAATTACCAAAACAACTAATTTTGCTAAACGGACACTTAGTATTATTTAAAAATAATTTTAGGTAGGTAACGGATTCAATTCACAAGCCATTTTTGAAGGGGAAAAAACATGATTGAACAAATAATATATAGGATTGTTATTTTCAAATAAGAAATTAAAATTAATAAGAATTTCTTTTTTCTTTATTATTATTTGGGCTTTGCCTTGCAGAGACAAAAGCAGTGGCTATACAATCCAAATTTACCCTCACTTAGATGTTTATTTAACCAGTTTTTATATCATAATTTGTTTGATGTAATTGTCTCCTATAAACGAGTAGTACTAAAAAAAAATATAAGTTAGCGAATTATTGGGAGAAAATAATTAATTATAGTTAATTAACGTTGCTTAATTTTCAGTAGCATACTTCTTTCATTACATTGGATGATTTTATTATTGTTATTATTTATTAATTTAGATTATTTTAAGAGATTGATAATGAAGCATAACAACTTTTTAAAGTTTGTTTTATTCTTTGTATTAATAATTAATTAACGATTTCAATCAATTTTTGTTTTTTTTTTGCTTATTTGTTTATAATGATTTCAATTATGAATTTGAAAGTTCCAGTAATTATAATATTTATGTGTGCACGTACATTTAATAAATAAAAAGTATTGTCATTTTGCAAAGAGACCCCGTCAAGTATTTCTCCCCTAATCATAGAATTACTTGATTAAAGAAAAATTAAAAAGGTGAGATTTCAATAAGTAAAGTGATACTCATGAATACTCTCTTTCCAAAAATGAATTAAGCAAATTTCATTTTTAATTTAAGTGATAATTATTAAATTATATATATATAATTTAAAAATTTATTGATTTGTAATTCATATCTTTATCAGTTTCTTTTCAAAGGAATTTTCAGTTTGATTTCTTCTGAAAAAAACAATGGCCGTTGACATTGAATGGGAAACAAAGAAAGATTTGCTGAAATAAGATACGAATGGGGTTCTAGTAAACGTCCAATGGAGAAACAACTTGGTTGAAAAAGACTGATTAATGGCCTATAACGCTAGACGCGATTTATTCATTGGCTATAGACATTGAAAATCAAATGAAGGAACTTTCATAAATATATTTATTGTTTATTTTTTATCACTAAAATCCGAGTGTTTCTGATCTCTATTCTCCAACAGAAAAGAAGTAGCAAGTGGGGCGGCCGTTGAAAATGAAGTGAAAGCGATAATTTCAGCGTTCTGTAACTGTAATTAAGGTCGGATAGCGACTAAAATAGCGCGTTTGATTTCGGAGCAAAGGGTTGGGGTTCGGCTCACACTAGTTGACTTAGGCCTCAGGCTGTCTTTATTGTTTTTTCCAAGTACATACTTCAATTTGTAAACTAAAGTGGGGTTAAACGGAGTGGACTTTTTTTGAAAAACTTTGAGATTTTCCAAACCTAAAATCCCAGCATATGAACAGATTTACTCATAAAGTTAGCTTGTAAAACATAAGTTGAGTCAGAATAATTACTTCAGCAGGGGACCTGTCATACATAAACACGACATTTCTTTGTTAGTCAAAGTGCAGCCTATAAAAATACACGCTACCTCTCAAATTTTCTGCCCTTTCCATCTCTCGAGTTGAGATGGTTTGCATTTGTTAGATTCATGTCTCTTTTTTAAAAATCTTATCTTTTTTAACCAATTTCGAGAACCGTTTATCGTTGGTGCATATATCCAAACTTCAATTCTTTCTTTTTTTTGCTTCTCAATCCCATGTCCAAAGTTTGTTCAGGATATTAGATATAAACATAGAATGTGACTGATATGGACAGAAGGGCATTACAAAGAATTCAATGTGTTAGAGAAAATACCCGAAAGATAAGTGTGATACGCGTGTGAAATGTCAGCAAAAAAAAATATATCCAAACTTCAATTCTTCTTCTTTTCTACCTCTCAAATTTTCTGCCCTTTCCATCTCTCGAGTTGAGATGGTTTGCATTTGTTAGATTCATGTCTCTTTTTTAAAAATCTTATCTTTTTTAACCAATTTCGAGAACCGTTTATCGTTGGTGCATATATCCAAACTTCAATTCTTTCTTTTTTTTGCTTCTCAATCCCATGTCCAAAGTTTGTTCAGGATATTAGATATAAACATAGAATGTGACTGATATGGACAGAAGGGCATTACAAAGAATTCAATGTGTTAGAGAAAATACCCGAAAGATAAGTGTGATACGCGTGTGAAATGTCAGCAAAAAAAATTACAAGCTCAGGTGCATAATAGATTTTTCAGAATTTGGGATGCCACAACCACAGTTTTTAGCGAAACGTCCAGCAGTGAAATTATGCATCTGAACCCATCATCAGTTATTTCCAGTACTTGTATGGTTAAGAGTATTTCAATCAGTTACCCACATAAAATCCTGATTCTGACTCGGAAATAATAAAAAAAAATAACATGTTTAAAACAACATGCCTAGTCTAAAAACTATCCCAATTAAAAATGAAGGGAGCTTGAGCTAAAACAAACTCATTAAGTTCAAATTCATAAAAATGTAAGCCTAAAAATAATAATAATAATAATAATAATAATAACAACAACTTGGGAAAAAATGTAACAGTTTGTAGGGGGCACACAAACAATCTTTCCTTATCCAAGCTTACACCTTAATGGCATACTTCCTCATTGGGAAGTACATTTCCCTCTTCTTCTCGCGCTCTGTCTTCAAAGATGCCTGAGAACAAATCATAGTACAAGTCAACAACAATGCTAAAATGCATTACATAAGGAGGCATTATATTAAACTTACACATGCCACAAATATAATGATAAAAGGTTCTAATTAGGAGCTAATTACTCAAATGGTTTTCCCTATTGTCGTGATTATTATAAACAAACAAGCAATGAAATTATAATAGCCCAATTATCAATCACATAAAAAATCAATTTCAAAACAGTCCAACAAAAAAACTTGATAATGAAGAACTAAAAAAGATAAAAGCAACCAAATTTCCAGCAACAAATATAGAGAAGCTTAGGTACCATGTTGTCAAATTAACTTCACATTATTTTCAATGACCACTATGAATATTGTCACGCCAGTGTTCTTATAATCATGGACCCATAGGTTGCATATTGCCATTAATTAAGAACAGGTTCTAAACAATACTAGCAGAAAGCTATCATCCACAGAAAAGTGGGGCTGGATTTCTATGTAATAGGCGCATCTGCCAAATAGCAAGCTATTATGGCTTTAACAGAATGACCAGAAACATTTGTTCTCAGGACCAGGAGAATATCTCTCTATTACAAGAACAGTCTCCTTGCAATATATAACAAAACAAACCAGCCCACCAAAATTCTTCTAATTGGATCTTTTCCTTAAGACTACTGTTATTGTTAAGTGGCTCTCATGCAGGTTCTAAATATTCACCAATTGTAAATCCATATACATTGTTGATAATGCAAACACCATGGTAAGAACTCTATTTGTGGTCAAATGGGAAATTTAAGTAATTAACTGCAAGCCCTATGATCTTACTTATATCTATTGCTTCCGCTAATATACATAGCTCTACTTTTGCAAAGTAAAGTAACCAATGCTGCTTTTTAAATAACATCAAACAACAAATCAATTATAGAAACCCATCAACTGCATTCATTTTCCAACTACAATTATAGAATTACCTGATGCTTTGTGAGGCGTCTACGAATAGCTCTGGTCTTCTTGGGACGCAAATCAAGAGGTAAAAACTTCTTGTTCTTGTAGGCTTCCCTCAAAGCTGCCTTCTGCTTTTGGGATATCACAGTCAAAACCTGGGCTATGGACAGCCTCACAACCTTACTGCATACCCAAAATCATCCCAAAAACCATTAGAAATCAAATGAATACAAATTATAGACAAAACCAAAAATATAATAATAAGAGAAAGGCAGAGACTTTACATTTTGGAAAGCTTGTTAGGTGCGCCTCCAGTGACCTTAGCAACACGAAGAAGTGCTAATTCTGCTTTTAGATCCTTCAATTGGCTCAACAGCTCTGTCTTTGATTTGTTTCTTAGCTCATGAACCTTGATTCTTGCTTTATTGGATAAAGGAGAAAATTGAAAAATTAAATCAATAAGAGATCAATTAGAATGAATAAATTTTCAGTTGAGCAAAGAAAATGGAGTAGTAGAGTTTTCGAAAACTTACCCATGGCTCTGCGTCTGTTTTTCTCACCCGCTCAACTAGCCAGAAGAGAGAGAGTGGCAGTATTTTCTTGCGGTTTTTAAGTTGTGTCTGCAAAACCCTAATTTTGTGCACACGTGTAGAGTGAGTCGCAATTGCTCATGGGCTTGCCCTTTGTGGGCCTTCAAAAATACTATATTCGATTAGAAGGAAGCTGATGAGTAGCTCGTGAAAAACAAATTCAATCCGACGACGTTGCTGCTTTTTAACTAGCAAGTCACGTGATCCCTTAAAAACGAAACACATAATCCCAACTATTCAAGATCTAACAACGTAGTAATCCATTTTGTGGGTAATGGGTCATGGTCACTTTTACTTGGGCTTTTTGACTTCTTGGAGACTTCTAAGTTTGTGTAGTTTTGGGTTTGAGGCCCAACAAACTGAACTACTTTAAGCAATTTTAATAATTACAATTTTCATCAAATTCATAAGAATTTTCATCAATAGAGAAGAGATACTCAAAATTCAATATCCATACTCTTTGAACACTTGAAAAAAAAAAAAAAAGGAAAAGAAGAATTAGATTACCTTCAATTGACGGACAAAAAATATTTAATACAAAACAACTCTATTAAAAATGTGAAATACAAAATGAATTAGGTTTTGCTAAGAATTTTTCCTTTATATATATATATATATATATGAATTGTTTCCTTTATTATATTAGTATATATATATATATATATATATGATTTGAACTGATTATAAACTAAATTTATATATTAAAAACAAATCTTGCAATAACTGCATATATAACTTTATAATAGATCTTAGTTCGAATAAAGTTTTGTTTAAGTTCATATGAAGTTTGGCCAAAAAAATTTGGATTTTTTTGAATTTTATTATGTTTAAGTTCATCATTAAAGGGTGCATTAAAGAAATTAATAATTCTCTTTTTTTTTAGAGTTCTTGTTTTACTGTACTATTTCTTCTTCTTCTTCAAGAAATGTGGGCGCTTGGGGTCCTTGTCTTGGAATGAAGAGTGTCACATGAACTAACACTTAGAAAGTGGAAAGTTGACCCTCATCTTCACAAATCACAATTCACTAGTTCACAACTAGCAAGCAGCTGCAAAGAAATTTCCTAAATGGTTGCTCTTATGTCAAAGAAGAAACTTTGACTGCAAAAAGTAGGACATTATCCTGTACAAAAAGCTATAATTACTCTGCAATAAATATTAATTATTTTTTATCGAGAGCTCTCTCGATAATGGTAATTTCAGATTTCAAACTCTTAATAAGAGCTCTCTCGATAAGGCACCTGGGCCTGACGGACTTAATCCTTCATTTTATCAAAAATTCTGGGACATTATTGGCACTGATATTGTGAAAGCTTGCAATGATTGGCTACAAGCAGGTATTTTTCCTAATTCATTGCCAGATACTCTTATTGTGTTAATTCCTAAAATTGTTGACCCTAAAGAGGCTAAAGACTTTAGACCCATAGCATTATTTAATTGAGGATCACTGGATATATTGGTGAGAAACTGCTTGGGTTGATTGATGATAGTGGACGTACTAGAAGTTCAGGTAGTTTTTATTTCACGTGTAACTATGTTGAGATCAATTCTTGTGCCAGGGTGAGTCAGAGTTTTGGCAGCAAAAAAAGAGTATTACTCGAAAATTAGAAATGGATAGGGAGGTGGATCCTGAAAATTGTAACCAAGCCTTGAAGGACAAGTTATCAGCTCTCCTAGCCGAGGAGGAAGTTAGAAAGAAGCAAATTGCTAAACAATTTTGGCTGACCCAAGGAGATAGAAACAACAGATTCTTCCACGCAAAAACCAAAGCAAGACGCAGGAAAAATACAATAGTAGGATTACATGATGAGAATGGTAATTGGTCAACTAATATCTCTTGCATTAAAAGATCAATATAGAACTATTTTGGTGACATCTTTTCAATTGCAAGTCAACATCCAGAAGAAGTTTCATACCTCACTTCTTTACTTTCTAGGAAAGTGAGTGAGGATGACAATGATTGGCTCACAGGGATTGTTTCGGAGGAGGAGGTTAGGTTGGCTATTTTTCACATGCACCCGGATAAGGCACCTGGCCTTGACGGACTTAATCCTGCATTTTATCAAAAATCATGGGACATTATTGGCACTGATATTGTGAAAGCTTGCAATGATTGGCTACAAGCAGGTATTTTTCCTAATTCATTGTCAGATACTCTTATTGTGTTAATTCCTAAAATTGTTGACCCTAAAGAGGCTAAAGACTTTAGACCCATAGCATTATGTAATGTTCTTTACAAAATAGTGTCTAAAGTTTTAGCTAATCGTTTGAAAATTGTGTTTCCAAAAGTCATTTCTGAATATCAATTTGCATTCATACCGGGTAGAGCTATTACTGATAATATTTTAGTGTCCTTTGAAATGATGCACAACCTTAAAAGACAGAAGTGTTGTGGCATGGGATCTTGTGCTATGAAAATAGACATTAGTAAGGCTTATGACCGGGTTGATTGGAATTTCTTGTGGGCTGTTATGCTTAAATTGGGTTTCTCAGAAAAATGGATAGAGTGGATGAAATGTGTCTTTGTGGAATAAATTATTCTGTTATTGTTAATGGAGAGATTATGGGCCCAATTTTGGCTAGTAGAGGGTTACGATAGGGTGACCCGATTTTAGCCTATCTCTTTCTGTTATGTGAGGAAGGACTCACTACTTTATTTGATGAAGCTGAGAGAAAAGGCTGGATTCATGGGGGCCAGGCAGGTAGAAGTTGCCCTTGCATTTCTCATTTGCTTTTTGCAGATGATTCACTCTTCTTTTTTAAAGCTACTACTAGTGAAGCAACAAAAGTAAAAGAAATTCTTCAGAAGTATGAGAAAGCATCAGGACAAGCTCTCAATTTCCAAAAATCTGGTATGGTTTTTAGCCCTAATACAGATGTGACTATGAGAAGGCAGATTGAACAGTTACTGGGGGTCACAACATCAGGGGAGGATAGTATATACCTTGGTTTACCTTCAGTTATTGGACGTAACAAGAGACATATTTTTGGCTTTCTAAAGGACAGAATGTGGAAAAAGATGAACAGTTGGTCAAATCATTTTCTTTCCAAAGCTGGTAAAGAAGTGCTTATCAAATCAGTGCTTCAAGCTATTCCATCCTACTGTATGAGTTTTTTAGAATTGCCCTTGACATTTTGTAATGAAATCCATAAGATGATGAATCGATTTTGGTGGCGAGGAAAGCAGGATGTAGGAAAAGGAATTCACTGGTTTAGTTGGGAAAGAATGTGTGGCAGTAAAGATAAAGGAGGTATGGGTTTCAAAAATATTAGATGTTTTAACATTGCTATGCTTGCCAAGCAAGGGTGGCGTTTGCTAAACTATGAGAACACCCTTTTCTATAAAGTTTTCAAGGCAAAATATTTTAGAAGAAAGGATTTTTTGGAAGCACCTTTGAGTAAGAATCCTAGCTTTGTGTGGAAAGGTATATGGTCAGCTAGCAAGGTGTTGAAACATGGTGTACGGTGGAGAGTTGGCAATGGGGAAAAAATTAGGGTGGTTCATGATCCATGGTTACCAAAAGAGGCTCCATTTAGGGTAGTGGGTTGGCAAGGATTTATAGATGAGGGTTTGAGAGTTAAAGATTTATTTATGAGTGGGGAGAGAAAATGGGATGCTGGAAAAATCATCAGTTTATTTAGTGTGGAAGAGAGTCATCAAATCCTTAATATACCCCTTAGCATTAGAGATAGAGAGGATGTGCGAGTGTGGCATTTTGATAGAAAAGGGGTATATACTGTCAAGTCAGGTTACAAAGTGACTTGCGAGATTGGGTTGGTGAGTTTGGGTCATGGTGGAAGACAGTGTGGGATATTGAAACGCAACCTAAGATTAAAGACTTAATTTGGAGAGTTCTTAGAGGGGTCTTACCAACAAGAGAGAGACTTAAGAATAGGGGGGTTACTGTTAATGAAGGATGTCCTTTATGTGGTGAGGTAGAGTCATTGGTGGAAGACAGTGTGGGATATTGAAAACGCAAACCTAAAAGATTAAAGACTTAATTTGGAGAGTTCTTAGAGGGGTCTTGTATATCCATCCAGAGCTAGAGCACTTATAAGAGATCACGGGGGTGAGCTGATTGACGGTACGTTAATTGAGGTATGTCACTTTAATAGTTGGATGAGTGTTGAGAAATGTCCTTTATGTGGTGAGGTAGAAAGTATTGATCATGCTCTAATCAATTGCCACTTTTCTTGCGTATTCTTGATAAACCAGCGTTTATATATAGATGTAGGAGGATCTGTTTGGGAAGTAAGAAGCCCCTTTTTGCTAAAAAAGTCTGGAATCTAGGAGGCTTTCTTGTGCCCAACACTAACATTGCTTTTAAAGATTTTTTTATGCAGGTAATACAAAATAATGAAACTCCTAAACTTGCTAAATTTGCTAATATTCTATGGGGTATTTGGCACATGAGAAACAAATGGCTTTGGGAAAATGTTCACTTAACTCCCATTCAAGTCTACACACGAGCCATGCACTCCATGCAAGAATTCACTACAGCTCAGAGGCATACTCAAGTGGGTTTGATACATCAGCCCAATCCTAGTGGCAATTTAAAGTTCAAAGGGTCAAATAGTGCAGTAATGATTCACCTTCTCTCTGCATCAACTTTATCTACACCAACATTAGCACAAGTCCCCACCACTCTCCAAAGCCAGCACAAGTCCCCACCACTCTCCAAAGCCCAAGTCTAGTCATCAATTTGCAAAATCCTACTCGCGCAAAAAATTGGCATGGACATACAGATGGCGCCATTTTTGCTGCATCAAAAGTGTCTGGATATGGTATTACATTTGAAGATGATGAAGGTATTTTTTTGAAAGCTATTTCAGGTTACTATGAAGGTACATCGGACTCGGCCATAGTTGAAACGATTGCTCTTCGTCAAGGCCTATTTTTTGCTGTGAACTTCTTCCACAATCCAGGATATTTTTATGTGGACTCGCAACTTGTTATTTTTGCACTCAACTCTAGTGCTCCAGATTTCTCTTTTTTTGGTCTTGTAATTTGTCTTCGTAATTCGGATTGTAAGGCTATTTTACTAGGACTTCGCCCTGATTTTGAGTGTCCGTTGCGGTTCGTATGGGGGCCGGGCCCTGATTTTGAGGTCCGTTGGGTTCGTAGGCAAGCTAATATAGGAACTCATACTCTAGCTAGAGCTGCCTATCATCATGCTCGCCATGTTATTTGGGATAGTACTCCCCATTTTATGTTGGATTTTTTCTCTTAAATAATGAGATTTTAATCTTTTAAAAAAAAAATTTATAGGTAAAATTTGCCTTAAAAATGCAGTCTTTTTTTCTTATTCAACTGTTTGTTAATATGTATTTCACCAAATTTTACATTATTCAGCTTTGTGCCACTTGAAATTCTATAATGCGTGCAAAAACGACACGAAGGACAAGGAGCAATTCTATGGTGACAGAAGAATGAGGAGAGAAGAATAGATAAATCAAATGTTTTTCATAATTTTCCTTTCTTTTTATTTATGCCTAAGTGAGAGTATAGTTTTTTTACGCTTAGAATTTGTTTTTAGTTGATTACCAAAATTTTTCGAATTTATAACTTATTGACAAAATTATTTTATAATAATAATAATAATACTCACTTCATTCTACTTTAAAGGCAACATTTAATCATTTCATAAAAATTAAGAAAATAATTAGAATACATTGATTTTCTAAATCTACATGGTGCAATGTATAAATTGCGCTTCTTAAAATTAAAAACTTTCCATTTAATTTTACTACAAAAACACCTAATAAATATTGGTAAAATAAAAAAAAAATTTAACACACTCTTAATCCTAAATGAGCACTTGAAGTGGAACAATATAAAATACTTATTTATTGCTATTAAAGGTGAACAGATGGAGTAAATTAGTTTTGATTTAATGATTTGGAATCATTTTCTGCTTAGATTTACCATCTCTATTCCATAATGCTTGTTATATTTGGAATTTCACATTCCTTAAGAAAGTCATTAAATGTATCTAAGTTACAATGAATTAAGTAAATTGATTATATTACTCTTAATTTAATATTAATTTTCTAAAAAAACTATTAAATTAAAGTAATATTATTGGTCATACATAAAAAATAAACATTAAAAAAAATCCATTACTTCTTAAAACCATAAATATGATAAATATTTTAGAATAAATTATTTTTTTAAATGTGATAAATATTATACAACGGAGGAGGTAGTATAAGATTAGAAGTTCAAATTGTAGTAGTACTAAAATTAATAGTTTGTTTGGGAAGGAGAGAAAATTGGAAGGAAAGAAAATAACCTTGGAAAGTTACTTTCCCTTGTTTGGAAACATGGGAGAAAATAAGCCTGGAAGGAAAATTTACACCATTTTTCACCCGGACCCACCACTTTTTAATCTCTCCAAATCGGAGAGAATTTGTGAATTCTTGAAGAAAAACGGAAATTACAAAACTGCCCCTAATAGTTATGTTGCTTATCTTTATGTTTCAAATGACCTTTGATAAATTATAATATAAAATAATTTATATGTATTTGTAATCCTTGTGCATATCCTAGCGTTGGGTTTTTGAATTATTTTAATTTTGATTGTCCAAATTTCTCTTCTTTTCTTATATAATTACTCTCTTAATTTATTATTATTTTTATTCTTTTATTAAGGGTAAAATTGTATATCTCTAGCAATAAGATTTTCTTTTTTCGTCTTATTTTCCTTACCATCTAAACATAGGGTGAAAAATATGGAAAGAAAAATAAGGAAGGAAAATAAACGGTACAATCTTTCCTTATTTTCCTGTTTTTTACCCTTTCATATTTTCTTTCCTCTCCTTTCCAAACACAGTGTAAGAAAAAAAAAAAAAAAAAAAAAAAATTTTTCCCTGTTTTTTACCCTTTCATATTTTCTTTTCCTCTCTTTCCAAACACAGTGTAGGAAAAAAAAAGACAAAAAAAAAAAAACTTCTTTCATTAAACATAGTTTGAGAAATCGCTAACTGACAAGTGCAATCTGATTAAGTGTAATTTGATAATCAACGCCTTTTTTATGAAATTTCTGCCATAATGTTTGTACAGAAATTGGACCTACCAGGCCGCCATCAAATTTGGAAAAACACATCAGTCATTTTAAAAAAAAAAAAAAAAAAAAAAAAAACTTCTTTCATTAAAATAGTTTGAGAAATCGCTACTGACAAGGCAATCCATGATTAAGTGTAATTTGATAATCAACCCTTTTTTATGAAATTTCTGCCCATAATGTTTGTAAAAGAAATTGGACCTACCAGGCCGCCATCAATTGGAAAACACATCAGTCATTTTAAGATTAATGATTGCAAATCACCTGATTTAACATAACAAAAATCAATCAGTTGAAGTCCGTCGATAATCCTACATCAGATAAATACACTAATACTAAGTAACATATAATGAGAAGGATGAACCAATCAAAATGACATAAGTCATTCTGTATTAAATGTAAGTCTAATTATTTATAAATACAATATTAAATACATTACTAATACTACTAATAAGAATGAAAAATCCTAATTGTTATAATTTTTTGAATTAATAATATAGTCAAATTATTATAAAAATAAATAAATAACTTTTTAATTACATGTCTCAAATATCTCATTTCTAAATCTATAAATGTACTACTAGTTAAATATGAATATAATTTGATATTTAAAGGACATTTAAAATTTTATTTTTATTATTAATTTTTTATTAGAAAAAGGATGAAATACTTCTTTGGCAATTCTATCCTTATTCACAATTGAGTGTATTTTTGATATAAAAAGTTATAATTGAGATAAAATTAATAAAAATATCAAAATAGAGTGAACCTACAAAAGTATACAAAATTCAAGATATTTTGATACATTAGATGATAAGCTTAGATATAAAAATGGAGTTTAAATGAAATTATAAATAATAAATTTGATACAAATATGAACAAGGATGCATTATGTATGGAACAAATTTCTATTATGAAGTTGAATATTGAGATTGCTGTACTTTGCTCTAATTATATCATCCTCCTAAATTTAAAATATATATATTTTTAAATTGAATCAAAAAGACAAAAAAAATTTAGACAATTGATTTGTCTCATCTGAATGTGTATATATATATATATTATTAATTTGTTTATAAATTAATTCAGAGGTTTGAATTAATTTAGATAGTATTTGAAAGAAATGTGTGTATGGAGAATTCTTTTTAAAAAAAAAATGAAGTACTTAATTTCGATTGTAAAATAATTCGCTGTGATTTTTTTTTTGAGAAATTTTTATTAAAAGCACTTAATTATATTAAAATTATTAATTCAGACACTTAATTATAAATATTCTCCGTTCAGATATCAAAATATAAAATATAAACTAGACAATTCAAACGCTACATTATAATTATCTCATTTTATATCAATTTTTCTTTCAAAATAATAATTTTTTTTCCAAAATAACGTAAAAGTTCATAATTCATGATTAGGAAATGATAAGTATCCGGTGAGTGGGAAAAAATTTTTAGCTAAACGATTGATCTTTCCCGATACACAATAGCTAGCCAAACCTAATTCCTATATTCGGGATGTTCATAAAATAAATCCAAACCAATTTAAAATTGTGATTTTAAAAAAAATTAAACCTCTTTTGTATACCCTAACAAGGAACAACAAAAAGATCATTTCAGAAAGAAAAAAAAATACAACAAAAAGAAGACTAATAAGACTATATATACTTGCTTAATTCAAAATCATTTATGCTGAAATATTTGTAAAATATACAAATCATTCTCAAACTGCCAATTGCGCATTTTATAAATTTAATTACATTGAATAATTTTTATAATTGGGTTAAATTTAAACTATCTAATTAACCTGAACTATGAACATCCTAAGCCATTTCATATATAAAACTCAATGATTTGGTAATAATAAGAAAAGAAAAAGGACATGCATGCTTCAAGCAGTACTAGTGGTAGTAATCATATCACACAAAGTGTATATATAGATAACCCCACATTAATTAATTAATTAATTAATTTTTAAAAGTGAATAATTAAAAGTTAATCACAACTTTGGAGGTCCATAATCCAGATTAATCACAAACCTTCCAAGCTATAATAATTAATTATTAATTCCTTTCCTTATGGGACCCCTTTTCTTCTCTTTAATCTCTCCCTCCCCCTCCATCTTTGGTCTCATCAGAGAGATCTTTCTTTTCCTCCTGCAAACTACAGCCTACAGGAACTAATAAAATTCTCAAATCTTCCTTTCAAAATTAGAAGATGAAAAGAATAGATTTCTTCTGCGCTTCGCCTGCTTCAACAGCGATTTGCTCTAGTCAGGATCATCGTTCCATGATCCGCCATGGAACTAGACACATTGATCGCAAGAATTCCAAGACTTACTCTCATTATGATGAGAAGAATAAAAAGGTTCGCGCAAAACAAAGCGATTTGGGTAGGAAAAGCTCTGCGGATAATAAACTTAGCGATTTACGTAGAAGAAGCTGTAGTGATATTAATGATGTTCATGTTCATAGTCCAAAGGGCTCTTCTAGGTATCTTTTGAGTGAGAAAGTTCCTTCTATTGATTGGATTTCTGCTGAGTCCGATCTTTCTTCCACATTGGATATTGATCCTAAGCAAAACTTGAGGCTATCTTCTTCAAGATCAGCTCAAAGTACAAAATCTAGGCATTATCCAAGCTCTGATATCAGTAATTCTCCTGCTTTGAAACCTTCTTCCTCAGCTCGCTCTCATGATCAGGTTCTTAATTGTATATTATAAAAACATTTAATTTCTTAATTTTAGTTATTTGGTTTGGTATGTTTATAGAAATATAAAATGTTCAAAAAGAAACAAAAAAAAAGTTTATATAAAAATATATAGTTATGTAAACATTTCAAATGTATATTAATTAAAAGAATTAATGTCCGACATTAGTTATTTTCTTTAATTATATAACAAAGTTAGTGTATAATTAAATTAATTAGTACAAAATTATTCCAGCAGGTTGTGGTTTTGTGGGTCTCAATCCACTGCAAGGGTTGTGAAGGAAAAGTGAGAAAGCATATCTCTAAAATGGAAGGTTAGTTTAGTTTTTACTAGATAAAAATAATACTTTTGTCTACACCAAAAAATTATATATTTATATGCATAAATTAAACACATTTGAATCAAATGTTTTCAAACTTAAATATATAGGTTATGATTCTTGAAAATTTGTTTATATGGGGTATGCATAGTGCATTAGTAATTTTTATTTTTATTTTTTTTGTTGCAGGAGTAACATCATTCAGCATAGATTTGGCTACAAAGAAAGTTACAGTGATAGGGAATGTGACTCCATTAGGTGTTCTTGCTAGTGTTTCCAAGGTGAAGAATGCACAACTTTGGCCATGTCCATCCTCATCTTCTCCATCCTCTATCTTCTTGTCTCACTGATCTGATCGATCTCTGATTTATCTTAGTTTTGTAATGGTTAGTGTGAGTTAATATCTTGTGTGTTTATGTATCTTTAGCGGTTTAATTAATCATTAGTCATGTCTAGAATGTATTTTGCAACGTAAATGTGAACTATTTTTGTGAAAACAAGATTAATCGTATGATTTTTCACTATTTGAAAAATAATTAAAGTGAAAAAAGTGTTCATGATAATTTCTTGGAATAATCAATGGAGATTTTTCCCCACAATTGCTCCTTTTACTTTCTTTAATTTGAAAATGAATTGCTTAGGCTGGCAGCTCTGGACATGTCTTCTTGTTTAACAATTCCCATGAAATATTCTCTAATCTCTATATATAGTGTGGGGGCAACGAAGTGCCATTTGTACTCCCAGCGTATAAATGTATAGAAAAGCTATATATATATATATGGATCATCTTTAAAGGAAATATGAGATAAAATGATGATGATCAATTGACATATATTGCATTTTGGTTGAATAAATAAGAAACAGACACAGTAAAGCACTAGTAGAATGAATGATGAGAACCTGCCAAGGCATGGGAATGTATGCAGTGGCAAAGGCCAGCATTGAAGGACACCAAGTTCGTTAATTATGGATACAGAGACATAACCAACTTTTCTTTTCCTTTTCTCTTTTCTCCTGTCTTGTGGATTATTGTACTCATCAATGTTGTTGTGATTTCTTTTTGGAAGGTTTTCTTTTAAGAATAAAACTTACCTATATCTGATGCATCAAAGGCTGTTTCTGCAGCTTTTTAGTAGGAAACGCATTGTTTTCTGTTTTAGTTTGGATGGATTGAAAATTCCATCAAGTAAGAGATTTTTTCTTATGAAGATAATGTATTTTTATGGCTGTAACGTGACCTGCTAGTAAAGGATGGCATTTTCTTCTTTGATTGTGGAATAACAGGAAGGTACACTTTTGGTTGGAAGGTCCATTTCAATTTTTACTTATTTGCTCACTAATGGTGGGGTTGCTTCAATTCTTTTCTCCGGTTTTAGCTTTTTGAAACTTTATATATGGTCTTCTCTATATGTTTCTACTTAATGAGACAAAAGGAAAAATATTGGAATATGATTAGGGCAAGGAAGATAAATAAGATTTTGAATTTCTCTTTTCCTTTTCATGATTTTTAATTTTATTTGACCAATAAATTGTTGGACGGCAGAAAAAGAGGAACTTAATACCAACAAAAAGTAGCAAAAGGATCCATCCATCTATAATTTTTCTTTCATGCACAAAAAATTGGTGATTTTGGTCGGCGCAATACCTATCGTTTATCCTTAATTTTTAGGTTTGAAAAGAAAATTTATCATTAATTTATTTTTTATAGAATTTATAAAATTAATTCTATTTTTTATTCTTAATTTATAATTAAATTTTACAGAAATATAATTGATATATTGTCTTTAAATTACAATCTGTTTTAGGATTTTCATAACAGTTTATCATAATTAATTATATTAGTGTCCCATTATTCAAGTATTTGCCAAGTAGGTGTAGCCGTGTAGGACAAATTCGAACATTCATAATACTAAAATCGAAACGAGGCAAGTTTGATAATTTTACATTTAAACAAATATGAATAACAAAATTCAAGATTGAATTTGAATTTACTTAAAGTTTAAAATTTTAATATTCTATTCGAGTCAATTTATTATTTTTGCGCTCGAATGATATTTGTTTGAAAAAATAAACTGATTAATAGTATTCATGGATTTCATCTTACTAGAGGACAAACAGAAAATGATTAACTTGATAAAACGACATTAAAACAGTGTGCAAAGTCGTTTTCACACAAACAATTTTGGAGAAAGTGGCAAGCAAAAGGTTTTATGTTCTAAAGCGCGAGCGCATATATGTATAATTAATGAAGAAAAATGAAAATGGTAGACAAGAGAGAAGGAGAGACATGCAGGACTCAGAATAATTATATAGTAAACAGTAATAAACACAATATATATCATTCAAAATGTTTTTTGTTTGCTTTATCTCCTTTTTGAGACATGAAACTATAATTTATGTTGCATATGATTCAAAGCTTGGAATTCACTTCTTCTTATGATAAAGTTTCTTTTGTAAAAAAAGAAAAAAAAAAACTATAATTGTTTAAATTAACTTATCAATCTACACTGTACATAAGCATGCCTGGATAGGAAATTAAGCTCACTTAATTATAATTATTACACTAGTATACTAAATGGACTATGAGTCATATTGAAGCAAAGAGTCTATATTTATACTTAAGGGATTGAGCTATAAGGTTCACACTTCTAATCTGTTGTATATATATAAACACTTCAATCACTAATCCCCGTTTGTTATAGTTGTTTGTTTTGAGTTTTTCATTTATTAGAAACATAAAATACTTTTTGGTTTTTGATTATTTATTTTTTGAAAACTATTTTTTTTCTAAAATTTATTTTTCTTTTTTTGGTTCACAATGTCAAAAATTGTTCCAATTATCAAATCTTTCTTGTTAAGTCATTAAAGATTTTAGTTAATAATAAATTTTCTAAAAATCCAAAGTTTCAGATAAAATAATTAAAAATATTTTACAATTTAATTTTAAAATTTCAATGTTACAGTAACTATTGATTATTATATTAAATAAAAACATAATATCCAAAATATAATAATAAATAAATAACACTAGATGACATTAGATTTATATAGATAGAGAAAATAATAATAATAAATATAAAAATAATACTAAATAGAGAAGAGATAGAAAAAAAAAAAAGTTGAGAATTTGAATAGAGATAAAAATATATGCTTATATATTTTGGATAAATAAATGACATTAGATTTGATGGGAGCCGAAAGAAGTGGGATATTGCAAAGCTCTAGAATTGTTTTCGGCGAGAGGTATTAGAGAGATGGCGGGTATCCCTATTAGTTATTTTGATAGAGAGGATGTGTTTATGTGGCATTTTGACAAGAAGGGAGTGTACACGGTCAAATCGGGTCACTATGTGAGTTTGGGGGTTTTGGGGAGAGAGCCAACTAAACAAAATGGTGAAATTTGGCAAAAATTGTGGAAGTTGGATGTAGCTCCAAAGATGAAGGATTTTTGTTGGAGGGCAAGTAGGAATATATTGCCTACTCGTGATAATCTTAGACGTAGGAGGGTTGAGGTTGATGCCAGATGCTTATGGTGTATTGGTGATAAGAGTAGGGATCATGGGCTTATTCATTGTCCTAAGGCGAAAGAAGTACTGAGAAATGTGGGGTTGGAAGGCTTGCAAACTATTATTTTTATGAATTTTTAATGCAGGTTTTGTCCTTAAAAGGAATTGGAAAAGCATCGGAATGTGCTATTGTCGCATGGAAAATATAGGTTGAGCGTAATAATGAGCTATGGCAACACCATAGTCTATCTCCTGCTCAAATATATATTGAAGCAGTTAAGTGTTTTGAAGATTGGAAAAGTGCTCAAGTTGAAGAGACTCCAAATGCTAGTTCTTTGCTTTCTCGTCAACATCCAGGTGGTACAATTTCAGGCCTGCAGGGTCGTTGTCAATAACATGCAGCTAATGTTAGTGGTTCGTTCGATTGGTTGTGTCAAGTGGATGGTGCGATTTTCTCTACCCTAGACTATGTGGGCTTCGGGTTTGTTATTGAAATTGCTGAAGGTATATTTCAAAGAGCTGTATCCGAATTCTCGGAAGGTAATAGTTCACCGGCGATCGTTGAGGCCCTTATTTTGCGTCAATGTCTTTTGTTTGTAGCTGAGTTTCTACCTCCTAACATATGTGTTATTTCAGACTGTCAACAAGTTGTCCAAATTTTGCTTAATTCTACTCTTGATTATTCTGAATTAGGAGTTTTGATTTCTGATTATAGACATATTTTAGATTCTCATGTTGATATTTCTGTGAAATGGTTTCGCAGGCAAGCAACTTTGGTAGCTCATACTCTAGCTAGATTTTCCATTTCTCATTCTTGCTTTCAGGTTTGGGATGATACTCCTGTATATTTACTGGATTATTATTAAGTTTAATGAAGCTTTTGGTTTCTTCAAAAAAAAAAAACGACAACAATAATTTTATGAAAATAAATCTTATAAAAATGAAAAAAATGAAAAATGTAGAATTAAAAACAGAAAACACAATTCTATAAAACACTATTTGTGGTTTCATAAAATTTATTTTTTGTTTTCAAAATAATTTTCTCAAAAGCAAAAAAAAGAAAAAATTAAACAAGTTTAAACAAACGGGTTTTGTTTTTTTTTTAAAAAAAAAAAAAAAAAAATAAATCTTAATAAAAATGAAAAAACATGAAAAAAATGTAGAATTAAAAACAGAAAACACAATTAACTATAAAACACTATTCTGTGGTTTCAAAATGTTATTTTTGTTTTAAAAATAATTTTCCAAAAGCAAAAAAAGAAAAATTAAACAAGTTTAACCAAACGGGTTTTGTTTTTTTTTAAAAAAAAAAAAAAAAGAAAAACAAAAACCTAATTGAAAAATAAACGGCTTTTTTTTTAAAAAAAAAAAAAAAGAAAAACAAAAAACCTAATTGAAAATAAACGGCACCTAAGTCATCAATTTGGGCAATTTAAATAGCTAAAAAATAAACAAATTTATTTTGTTAAGGGCTGACAATGGTTTTCTTCGAAATAGTGGATATCATGTTTAGCAGTTTAGCTTAAGTTTTTTATTTATTTATTTATTTTTTTTTTTTTGGAGTATCGGGGAAGTGGATCCAACTTGGATCTATACCCAAATTGTAAATGCACTTACCATGGCGTGCGCAGTTTAGCTTTGGCTTTACTATACATGGTTTGTGACTCTGCCAGGAAACAATAATTCTTAGTAAGGACATTTTTCATTCTCTGCCCACATATCCCCTGCAGAACAAGTATCTATGTATAGTTTTTATTCACTCCAAGGTATTATTCAACAATAAATAAAAAATTCCGAAACTTGAGATATCAAAGTAACTGCTTCAGAAAATGAAAGCTTGAACTAAGTCAACCTGTTCAAACAACGTAACTGTAAGGAACATTGGATTCACCATAATTGGAAAATGAGACTAGAAAAAGATGTCAAAAGTATATTTCAAATTTATTGTATATATACATCTATATATGATAGATGAATAAATATAATATTACATTTCCAGATGTAGAGTATGTGAACTGATCCTTTTGGCTCTGATACTTCTTGATCAGATCAGATGAATGGTTTGAGACATGAAATTGCAGAGATGGCTCAAGCATTCCTAATTGGACATTGTGATCTTGAGGCAACTGCAGAGATGATACAGGTAATTCTAATAAAAGCCAATTAAGCACAAGGTAGAACATCTCATCAATATCATTTATCTCATCCACAAATCTTGTTTCAAAACACAAGTAATTTATCCATTTGCAACCTCATGTTAGATATATCTATGTGCCATCTGTGTTCCTACTAGAAACAGAACCAAAAAGGCACATAACCCTCAAAAATTTCACCGCAAAATTGCTTCCAATGTATAGAGACTCGAGCTTTGATAACCAACAGCCATCAGCAGTTACAAAACCTTCAAATTATCATCTCTATTTCCTAATGCATATGTTGACTGGGCCAATCCTGTCAAAATGGATCCAATCCGTGAGGTAATGCAAGCTTGCTTGCACATCCTCCCAAAAGAAAGGGCAAACCTTCTTCTCGTATCCAAACATATGCATCCAACTATACACAAGGCAACTGTTATATGTAGCAACTGAAGCAATCTTTCATAGTTTCCCCTACCGTCAAGTGCACAAACTCAATCGAGTATCAAATTCAAGCAATGAATCATAGTGAACCTACTGCAGTTAGAAAAGGTAACAGATCTCACAAAGTTATTTATCCTCCTCCCACATTGACGAGACTTGACTGATAGCAATTAGGTCATTTACAAGTTCACCTGCACCTCCATGTTCTTCACAAGAATGCCTAACAAGAACTTCCCAACTACCAGAATCTAATCTCATATTTCTTTTCTCCATTTCCTCCAAGACAAAGCAAGCACCAGCGATATTTCCAGACTTTACAAGCCCGACAACCAAACAATTAAACGTTTCAACGCGCGGAAAATGTCTATTCGTCATCATTGCATTAAGAACCTTCAAACCTCCCTCAAAATCCCTAACCTGGCAAAACCCATCAACTAACATTCTATAAGTAGCTGCATTAGCCTCACAACCTCCAATTTGCATTTCAAAGAAGACTTTATAAGCCTCTGCTGCCCTACCCTCTTTGCAAAGATAATTTATCAATATATTGTAAGTTACAACGTCAGGCTTAAATCTCCTCTTCTTCATTTCAAGAAGCAAAGCTTTTGCCTCCTCTATCCTCCCTCTTTTTCCAAGATCACTCATCAAAACACCAAAATTTACAAGTCTTGGTTTACATCCTCTATATTCCATATCAAACAACATCTTTTTAGCCTCTCTATACTCACCCGTAGAGCACAAACCTTCCATTAACAAAGCATAAGTTATTGCATTCGGGTATTTCCCTTTCTTAATCATATCCTCAAACAAATCCTTCCCTTTATAAAACTCACCGTTTCTACAAAAATACCCTATAAGACTATTATAAGTCACTACACTAGGTTCCACTTTTCTTTCAAGCATTTCCTCAAACACCTGGTAAGCTTGAACACAGTCACCTTTCTCAAGCCAACCTTTAATCATTATATTAAATGGAACAGAATTCAAACGAAAACCCATTTTATAACACCTACGAAATAACTCATTTGCATCAAGTAACCTGCCATTATCAACAAGAACGTTAAGCAACGCATTAAAAGATTGAGATGTTCGGACACAGTTAAAACCAGTCATTGTATCAAAAAGCTCAATGGCTTTATCAATCAACTGAACTTTTCCCAAGTGCTGAATCAAAGCAATAAAAAGTGTTTCTCCGCATCGAATGTTCTTATTCCGTACATATCCAAGAACTTTCTCCACAGCCGTAAAATCCCGAGAACGAGCAAGCTTATATATAAGAGCAGAATATGAAGGATAATCATGTTTATAGCCCATTTTCTGATATTCATGAAAGAGAGACAATGCCTTATCTGGGTCTTTTACTTCTTTCAAACTGGTTAAAAATGGAGTAGGTCTGTTTCGCCTTCGTGTAAAAGATTGAAACTTTTTGTTGTTGTTGGTTTTGGCTTGAGTTTTGTATTGTTGATAATGTGAGAGATCGATACAACGGGAAATTTGAATTGTTTTGGGTCTTGAAAGGATCATCGTAACTGGAATGTCGCTTCATTTGGTTTCTTTTACTTGGGATTTCAATACGCTTTACAAAACCAACAGAACCTGCAGATTCAATAAAAGAAAAATCCAAAAGCTCAAAATTTCGATAAAATTCAATCTTAATTAATAAAGCAAAAATGTGAAACTCAATATCAGAACGAAACAATCGACATTTTTAGGCCGTATAAAATCAAACTAACTCATCTTTGAATATGAATACAAACAACTGCAATTTTTACTTCTTGTCCCTTCTTTTTTCTTAAAACAAAAGACTATACAGAAACACGTAAACATCACTTCCAAACTAAACGGATTAAGACATCAAAAATTTTTAAACCTAAACTAAAACAGATTATTAACAACAGCTAAAACAAGGAATTAAAGACACAGAGGACGAAAAACAAAGGAAAGTTCTTACCAATGTCAAGCTATTAATCTGAAATGCATACTTCTAAACAAAAATCAGAGACCAGAGACTAGGGTTTTTCGAAAATCGTTGGAGTGGCTAGGGTTTCAGAGTGTGAGTGAGAGATGATGAAGAGAGTGGGGACGATGCCGTTTTCGTGCAGCTGGACAGAAGAGAGAGCTGAAGACCGGAAGAGAGTAAAAGAGGTAAAGGCTTAAGGATATAAATGGGCCTCGGGATATTTACGGGCTTTAAGATTAGAATGTATGTGCTTGTTTGGACTCAGGATTACTGTTTATTCTTTTCTTTTAAAAAATAAAATAAAAATAAGTGCATAATAATAAAGTAAACGAAATTGAAAAGTAATTAAACAAAAATTGAATTTATAAGTTCTAAAACAAAATGAAAGTTTATTTTTGAAAACTTTTTTGTCCTGCTTTTATTATATAATTTTAGCCAACAATGTATTAAAACAATCCAAAATTTTATTTTATATATATTTGAAAACTTTTTTGTCTGCTTTTTTATTAATAATAATTTTAGCCAACCAATGTATTAAAACAATCCAAAATTTTATTTATATAATATTATATATATATACTATATATATAATATATATATATTATTTTATTTATTTTTCCATGTGAATAAATAAATAAATATAATATAAAATTTAAAAAATCAAAGTCATATTAATTAAATTTTAATTAAAATTGATAATTCTAGTTTGGTCAAAATAGATGTGTTGATGCCATGGCCACTATTTTTTTTTTTTTTTTGAAATCCATATTAACTAATAACTTAATGCTGCTTATTATTTTTTTTTTTTTTTTGAATTCCATATTAACTAATAACTTATGCTGCTTATTAATTTTTCTACTATTTTTTAGTGCTAATGTTAATCAAGTGTAGTCTGATTGGTCTTCTACTTCTCGTAGAAGATTTAGGAAGTAGAGGTCTCAGGTTCAAATCATCTCCACAATAAAAGTTATCGCCAATTTGATGAATATTATTCAAAGGGGAGGACTGCTCTCTGCTATATAGCCCACAATATTATTTCGGCCCATTGGGCTTCCAATGTATCCAAAAAAAAATTAAGACTTAATAATAAATATTACAGCACATCATGACATAAACTACCGGTAAGTGTATGTACAATATCTAAATTCGAATCCTCTTTTCTAATACTCAAAAATAATAATAAATATTGAATTTAAATTTTATTTTTTACTAATATAGAATTCAACTATAAACTATGGAGCTTATTATTTAATTAAATTATTATTTTAATTAATAAATAAAATAAAAATATTTATAAACAATAACTGCTACAAAAAATTAAAAAAAAACCCAAAATTTCAAATACATCCCAAATTATGAAGATAATATTCTCGTATAAGTAAACAGTATTTCTGATTGATATTTGTAAAATCATCAATATTAATAGTGTCAGTGCATTTAACAACTAATTATCTAAAGAAATAACCCATATGATTTTACGTGTGAAAAAAAAAAATACAAATCACTTTCATTAAAAATGTGAAACCACACTATAACTATTATGTAATTTCCTATATTTTAAAAGGATGCAAAACGGGTTATGATATAGGAATATGATTCGCCTAACACAAAAATTAAACGGGTTAAATTGAGTTTAAATGAATTCGTGTCATAAATTTGGCTATTAGTTGGTCCCACAACAAGCCAAGTTATATCCATCTAGATTCTTTGATCTTTCATCCTTACTAAGTGATGGAGCCATAATTTTTTTATAGCAGCAAAAATATATTTGTTATTCCATACAATGAATAAAAATAAACCTAAATTGAAAGAACGCCTAAAAATAGTATAATTACATAAACAAATATATTACATGTGGTCAAAATTTTTTTAATGAAAATAACAACAAAATAATAAAGATTTTTTAAATATATATATTGAGTTCAAAATGAAAGACATAATTTCCCAAAAGATTTACATATTAGCGGTTACAATGAAAATACTATTAATATTTAAAATTTTAAATATATTATTATAATTTTAAAAGTCAATCAATTCAATTTCATATTATTTTTTAAAAACTATTAAAATAAAATCATGAATTATAACTCTTTGAATAAATTAAATATCATATGAATTTATAATTTTAAATTTTTTTTAAGTCGTTAAGTTTTAATTAAATAACCAATAGTAAAGAATTGAGATATAAATTTGTAATGATGTTGTGTATTTTAATATTTATATGAATATTATGTTTCATAGAATGCAATCAAATTCAAAACTTAAAATTTAAAATAGAATATAAAATTAAATAACTTAAAGTTAAAATTAATAATATAAATCATTCAAGGATAACAAAAAATAATTTATGAAAATTGTGGAACTTTGTGCTTATTTATATATATTTGGACTAACTAAATCTACACAAAAACTAACTAAAATTATTTCTATATATAAGAACTAATTAAAATTACTATCTAAAATTATATAAAAAACTAAAGTAAAAAATAAAAAGTCACTACCATTAAGTACCTTGAAAGGATGTAAAATAAAAGGTGGAAGTACCTTGAAATTTTAAAAAACACTTGTTTGGATGGGTGAAAATATTAAGGAGGATGTAAAATAACTCCGTTTCCGAGGAAAGTGATAGTGTCATTTTTACACCATTATTCTACTTCCACTCTTATTTTACTTCCTCTCTCTTTCCAAACATAGCATAAGCAAAATAAGTCTTTCTACCAAGCTAAGAAATAAATGTAAGGGACATTAAAATTTTTTATCTAGCATAGGCGAACGCCAGCCCCCTCTCTGTCAATGTCCTTATTTTTCGAATCTTTAAGTTGGAAGATTGTATCATTGAGATAATCTTCTTCTCATCACATACAAATTTGAAATAATTTGATATGATTTATAATTAACGGACTATTAATGAACCCTCGGTGAGCATCTCATACCATCGGTCATCACAAGTTTCGCTAAGTATGTTTTTTTACTCCTAAAACTGCATCATTTGACTTGTACCCAATCAAACTCTGAACGGAAGTAAATCAGTGCGTAGATTATTTGGCTAAGTGTGAAAGAACCTATTCCTTAGGAACACACTACCTCAGAGATCCTCCTTCAGGAATGGCAGACTGGTTGTTTCATGATAATATGGGTGTATCTTACACTGGATTAACTATGTCTTCTTAGAGCATTGCTCTCTCCTTTTTTTACCGAAAAAAAAAGTATAAAATATTGATTGAAAATTAAAAGTATTGACCAAATTTTAAAAAGAACTTAAAAGTTCAAACTTTTTTTAATGATTAAGGTTTTGTTTAAATAACTTTTTTTTTAAATAGTTTTTTTTTTTTAAAGAATCAAAAGATTATCTTTATTAATTATATTATTCAATATCATAATATTTATATAATGACTTCTAAAGATTGAGACTGTATTTTATGAAATGTTATATTTAAATTTTGCCAACAATTAATTAAATTTCTTTTTAATTATTTTATATTTAACAACTAATCCAATAATTATTTTTATCTATTATTTCTGCTTTAAATCATTATATAAATAGCTAGTTAATCAGGAACGGCTAAAAGATAGTGCACAACTCATAACTACTATAATAACTAATTATTAGTAAAATACTAATATTGTAAAACACGGTAAAATGTAGAAAAATTTGAGACTAAGATATATTCTTTCATGCCTAATATGAAACTTTGGCCATTCTCAATTTCAAATTCCAATTTTTTACAGATCCACCAATTTATTACCGTATGAAAGATTAAAGGGAAAATAATTATGTACTCGCTAATATTTGACTGATTTAACTAACTCGTCCCTGCAATTTGGCAATGTTAATTAATGGTCGTTAAAGTTTACCTCCTTCAAACTATTCGGTCCTTCCGTCCAATTTATTAAAAGTTGTCGTTAAAATCGTAAGAAAAGATAAAATTACCATGACATTGAGTAATGCAACTACTAAAATAACCTTATCTAGTTCTTACCAAATCTTTATTCAGGACCCACAAATTCTTACCCATCTCCATCCTCCTCTGTCTCCTCTCCTCAATTCTCACGTATCTCTCTCTCTTCCTTTATTCTTACCAAATATACCATCAACAACAAAAAATTAGGGGACTACTTAGAAGAGCAAATATCTCTCTCTCCATCTCTATCTTATTCTCCTAAATAATCAAACAACCTCTTTCTCTCCACTTTATCTTTTTCTCTTTCTAAGTAAATGAAATTGCAAAATAAAGTTATATGGATATAAAGATTTTGGTTATGGGGATGGTTTTATTACCATTTCTCATGAGATTCAAATTCAAGCTTGTAAGAGACAGATCCCAATATATTTGTAGCTTTATTATTGTTTGGAATTTTTTAGATTTGAATTTATGTTTATGTTTTGGTTGTTTACTGCATGTGATTACAATATATCTCTTAACATAAAATAAAATTTACATATAGAAGATTATTGTTGATTGATGCTGGAAGTGGGATTTTAAATCTGAGATGATTCTCTTTAAATGTACATGTTTTAAAGTCTTGATCGATGTTGGAATTGAAAATCTTCAAAAGAAATCCTATAATGAAAAAAATAATAAATCTAAATTTTAAGTCCGAAAAAACATATATCCATAAAGAATATTTGATATGCAGGTTGAGAGGAGAGAAGAGAGAGAAAGGTCATGAGGGCTATTGTCGTCATTTTAAATTAATTCTTTCACTTCTCTCTTACTTTTTTGACTCACTTTAACTAGGGGTTACAAAACAGGTTGATGTGTTAGGTACGACACAGATTCGCCTAACACACGACACGATTAGGGTTAATACGAACATGACCCGTTTAGTAATCGTGTCAAATTTCTCACATGAACACGACACGAAAATTAGACAGGTGATACGAACACGACACGTATAACCTGGCTACATCATAAGCAGGTTAAATGGATTGTGTTGACCTGTATACGACCCATTTAACCTGCTTATGATATTTTTAAGTTTGAACCTCTTTAACCTAAATCATATTTAAAAATAAATTTTTATACATAAAATTAATAGATTCTGAAAGATTCAAAATTAAAATAACAAAAAAACAATAAATTTTAAATAGGGTTTTAATTGACCTTCGTTTTAACCTTAAATCCATATTTTAAAAATTTAAATTTGTTATGAGCATAAAAATTTAATAGATTTCT